ATATAGACAGTAAACAGAGGTGTGAGACAGAGGAATAGTAATAACGAAGAACAAAACAGTTTAATTGGAAATCATAAGTCACAAGGAGTGGATGCATGTGCACCAGCCATTGAGAAGGATTTTGAGCCATGTCACCAATTGTTTCCAACCGTTGGTTTTCACCGTCCCGAGTACCCCAACTAGGAAGTCTACACCTTCCTACGTGGCTTAGACTAACTGTTGTAGATTTCATTGACTGTTGCTATATTTTCGTTTGACTGCCGCTAGCTCTTTTCCAGCCTGGCCCTATATCAGCTAACATTGCCCGTCGAGGAAGGCGATGACTAGGCATACGTAGCACATGTCATAACATCTCAATCGATGTAATTTCACAGTCCCGTCGACTGATTTCCCCACCTTACCTAGCACTCGATCGGTGACTGACCTCAATATTGCTCACCCCATTATACCACTTCACACGGGAGATAGAACGCAGACACCTATGATCGAAGACAGGTAATCTTTTCATGTCTTCCGCTCTCAATGGCCAGGTCTCACAGCCATAAAGGAGGACGGAGCGGACTGTTGAGCAGTACACCCGCCCTTTGGTCGATAGTCGGATATCACGTATAGGCCAGAGACGGCGTAAACTGGCATATGCGAAACTAGCCCTCTGTATTCGTACTGAGATTTCGTCAGAGATCAACCCGTTGGGGCTGATGGTACTTCCAAAGTAAGTGAAGCCGTCAACGTGCTCTACCACTTCACTTCCTACTTCTAATCTAGGGGTCGGTGAAGTCCAATCCTGCAACATTATCTTACATTTTACAGGGGCGAATCGCATGCCAAACATACGAAGATTGTTGCTCAAGGTGTTCAGTAGACAATGCATTTTGTCAGCGTCCTCGTCTAGAAGGACTATATCGTCTGCATATTCTAAGTCAACGAGATTATTCCCTGGTAGCAAGTCAATCCCTAAGTCGCTGAAGTGAGTTAGGGTTTAGTCCATGAGTACGTCTATTATGAAATTGAATAGAAATGGGGATAATGGGCATCCTTGACGGACGGCACTAGTTGTCACCACTTCAGATGACAACTCGCCGTAAGCCCTCACCTGGCTGCATGAGTTTGAGTAGAGTAGAGTGCCTTAATCAGTGCAATGTATTTTCTCGGCATTCCCTTTACAGCCAGGCATCGCCAGAGAACCTCTCGGTCGACAGAATGGAATGCCGCCTTTAGGTCAAGAAATATTTATTTTATTTATTTTGATTTACAGTTTGATTCCACACCGTATTTTCAGTACAAGTATGGAATTTTCAGCATGGATATCGGTAGCCCGAATTTTGCAGGCCGACCATAGATATCGGGTGTGCGTCGGCAGGGGACGCAATATAATGATTGTTGGACGCCGGTAGGAATGCCTATGTTCTAGAATCTGTCGAAGGGTGAAGATATGATCAATGCACCCTCATCCTGGCCTAAAACCTGCCTGGTTTTCTCGTGTTTGTGCCTTTCGAGCACCACTTAGTCTACGCAGTATTATTGAGCCTAGGATTTTAGATACTATATTAGTCAAGCTAATCCCTGTGATTATCACAAGAAGACTTGTTCCCCTTCCTGTATATCGGGATGATCAGTGACTTACACCAACCCGATGGGACTTCCTCTGATTCCCAGACGCTGCCTATAATCTCAGTTAATGCATACAGTAAACTGTCTCCACCGTACTTAAATACCTGTGGAGTCATTCCATCAGGTCTCGCTGCTTTGCCTTGCTTCAAGTAGGTGACAGCTTTAGTAACCTCAGTTAAGGAAGGAGGACCTGTGTCTATATCCCATTCAGGGGGGTGTTTGATGTTCGGCAGGTTAAGTGTGGCTGTGTGCCAATTAAACTGCTCCTCATAGTGTTCTTACCAGCGCTCCAGTCGTCTATCCTGGGAGCTAATAATGGTGCCATTTTTCTCCGAGATTGTTTCACTTATCATTTGCCTTTTGCCACCTGTTTCCCTGATAAGCCTGAATAGTTGTCTGGTGTTGCCAATCGCCGATGCCTTTTCCATCTCTTTCGCTTTTGTCACTTACGGTCGTTGCGAAGACTTTTTGTTAGTCTTCATTTAAGTACCTTTCGGTCCTCATCATAATCGGAGCTCGCTGGAATCAGTGTTCTTGCGTCAATCAGTTCGGATGAGGCGGTAGAGATCCAATGGCTTTTATTAACTAGGTTTTATCTTATTAACAGCTTTCACAGCTGTGTCTACAGCTAACTATATGTTGTGCCAGGCTACCTCAGGGGAGGTCTTGCTGTCGACCTCAGAAACTAGTTTCGCTATTTCTTCCTTAAATAAGGACTCATTGTCACGATCTAGTTGGGGACGTAACTGTTTCGCTGCCGTCAATTTCTTATGTCCATTTAGTCGTAAGCATAAACGTGCGCGAACCAAGGCGTGATCAGAGTCTACGCACGTGTTCCAGAAGGAGCGACAGTCTTCTACTGACCCTCGCCAACGATACCCTATGGCTATGTGGTCTATCTGAGTCCAGCGTTGATTTGGTGATGGAGGTCGCCAGGTTACACAATGTCTCTCTTTGTGCCTAAAGTTAGTGCTGACTAGTAACATATGATTATCTGAGCAGAACTGGAGAAGACGATCACCGTTGTCGGTTCGTCGGCAGGGAACTCCATACGTACCATCTACATACTTCTCAGTCTGGCACAACTTCCCTACTTGGACATTGAAGTCACCTGCTAAAACAACTATGTCTGAACGTTTTGCTTTTTGCAGCAAATTGAACAGTTTCAGATAGAAGTCATCTTTTAATCCATCCGAACTGCAATCTGTTGGGGCGTAAGCCGAGACTACGAAAAGGCAACGACGGGTAGCGCCGTCTTTCCTTCTTTTAACGGACCCGTTCAGACGGACCGCATACATACGACTATCTACTGGGATGCAGTCAAGGAGTGATTTTTCCGCCCTAACACTCAGTGCTATCCCTACACCTGAGTACCATATATTTATTATTCCCTTAAGATCCGAGTGAAACATATGGCTTCAGCAGAACATCCCGATTCCATCCGGTAGTCGTCTTTAGCTGACTCAACAATTGCTCATAAACCCTTGTCTTCTCGTCACACTCTTTCATCCATGTCACCCTTCGATCCAAACCCAACTCCTCATGTCCTATTCTGGTTCCACTTGTGGGCCTGGTGTGCGATGTCGCTTAAAGGTCTTCGCGTGTGTCCGACCCACCTCCATTTTCTTCAGCATATTTATTTCTTTGTTAGTTTAGAAAGAAAAAGGATTGAGCCAAGAAATACTTACTTTTTAATTAGATCCTCATCTCTGGCTCTACTCCAATATATGTAGCATTTTTATTACAATACACAACAATTTATCAATCCAGTGGCGATATGCTTGTTAACAATAATTAGTCAGCATCAACAGATCAAACGGTGGGGTGATAATTAGCGGAGAAAATTAACGCACAATTAAAAGGTGAGAATGGTTACAACAAGTGGATTGCACAGTGCATGATTGTGGAAAAATGAAGAGTAATTAAGGAATAAGTGAGTGCTCCAGTTGACTACGTAACAAATTGTTGAGAACAAATGAAAGGATTTGGACAATGATAACTCGCTATTAGAGATGAATTAGTCAGAAAAATGCTAAAATAATCTGGACGATTATGATTTTTAAAGGTTTATGGGGTGGAGGAGAGTCGGAGCGAGTGAAGTAGTCCGGTTAAAACATTCATTTAACGATGACCAAGGTACAGCCACTTCCTTTACCTTACATAACATTTAAAATAATAATATTAAATAATGAAACCACTATGAACAGAATGTTGGTGGAAACACAATGAATTATAAGTGGATAAATATCATAGGTAACACATGTAACAAAATTCTTTGCCTATACTTTGCAGTTCAGTTTTTTTTATTTAAAAAGTTTATAAGTTCTTTCCTGTCATCTGACCCTTCACACGAAACCTGTGCTAAATATGGTATGGTAGAATTTTTTATATTTAGCAGCTGTACGAGCGTAAATTCTTTTGAAGTTTCTTCTGGTTTTACCGGAAGTTATACAAAGCGAAAGTGGCGAATAAGTAGAGAGGATGTTCGTTATCAGACAAGATAATTTTAGCCAACTGCTTGGAAGAATTGAAACGCTTATTGACAATAATGTCAGTTAGCTGAGTCAAAGGCACACACACACACACACCACTAACCGTGCCTGTTTACAGCCTTCAGTGTTCTACGTAATATGACACAGTCTATTTTGAGAAGTCTAGGGAAGAATAATGGCGAAAAATAAATAAGAATGGACAAGATATATGAATTAACAAACTGTAAGAGAGGAGGTTGAGTTATTCCAGCAAGTCTTAACTTTTTTATGTAACAGGTCAAAGGAGAAATTTTCTTAGGAATCGACAGCATATGAGATGACCAAAATCAGTCAACTTGTAAAGAAGTCTATACAATTAGGAATATTAGTTGTGTTCCCTGGGTTGGACGCTTGAACTGCTAAACTTTCTTTGTTTTGTTTTTCTTAACAGCATCTTCAATACAGGCGTCTTATTGAAGTAAGAATAGTGCTGTTGATTCGGTTATTCTTTGGTGTTGAATACCTGCTTTTTGTAAGATTAAACCTAGCTGAAAATCTACTATCAACCATAGTGCGCTTCAAAAAGAATTTAAGCCAACAGTCTTCCCAAATGTCATTATTTAAAGTGTGTGTGTATTCCCCAAATTTTCCGACTGCATCATGTCATTTTTGAGAGTTTTAACTAACTGGTCAATCCTGTTAGTAATAAGGAGTATTTCTACTACATTTCTCGTCTTTTAAAGCACCTCTCATTTTCAATTGTGAAGTTTTCAACACAAACTTCCAGTGGTTTGGCCAACATTCGATAAGGAGATCTTAGAATTTATTTTAAATCGTTTGAGATGGTATTTTTCTTATTGTATTGATTGTTCGTTATATGCTAATAGAATATTCTGTTTCTAACCGATTCTTTATCAGTTGTGTGACTCGTGAAGCCAGCAAAGCTCTATCAATCTTAGCTTCATATCATCGGGAGCATGAGAATCGAGTGGAACGTCAAGTTGCTGACCCGTTGAATCGTCTCGCAGAAGAAACTTGCGTTAATATTTCTAAAGATAAACGTAGTCTGCAAAAATGTCTGACTGAAGTGCGTAGTGCTCGTGGACAGTTGCAAAAGACAATGCAATGTATTCAGACTAATACAACACTGGGTTACCCTGGCTCTTCCAATCCATCTGTAACAATAGATGCTGTCAATAGAATTGGTCAAGCTCAACATCAATTAGAAGAAAAAGAGAGTGAACTAGAATCTTCCAAAGTATGTTTTGTGTGTATTATGTGAGATTTTCATGTAATATTCCCTCTTGATAATTGTTCTAAATTTATATATGATGGAGAAGATTTGTAGCTCAGGTTCATGATTTTGATGCAGTTGTCTTCTCTGAGCTGGATGGTTTATTTACGAAGCTTTCATTGCCCTACTCTAGGCGATATCTTCAGCGCATACTTCATAGTGTAGTTATAGTCACCTCTCCTGGTGACCTTGGACGTGATTACTTGTTTTTGTGTGTTTCCACACCCTCTAAATTTTGTTTGCCGTTTTATGTGAAGTTGCGGAAAGTAGTCAGAAATGTTCATCTTTGGCAATAAGTGTGAAAGTTATTGAAGTGTATAGTGTAAAGAAAGAAATTGCGCTGATAAATAAATAATAGTGCGCCGGCAGGACACCGTGGTGTTTGGTAACAGAATTATTTATTCGGCAAAACGGTGGACAGCGGTGAGCAAAATATCAAAGCTTTACATTGACACTTCAGTTTGCAAAAGTTATTTGCATTCTACTTCTCTTGCCTTAATTTCATACTTTCCATAACACTTCACAATTATCTCCATTGTTGTGCTATTCAAGATTCTTACAGAAGACGTTACCCAGTATGCTACTTGCAAATCCGTGTCAGTAGCTCACGCTGTAGCATAACCTATTTTGGGGGTTGTTTCAAAAGTTCATAATTTCTACTTTCAAAAGTGCACATTGTGTTCTTTTGAATCGGTAACAGAAAAACCTTCACATGAAATTAACTATTCTTTAACTCAATGCTGCTGAAATCCTTTTTCTAATTTATTCTGATTTAAAACAGACAGTTGTCTTCGGCCTACTATTGCAGTCGGTGTGGTAGTTACTTGTCGACTACACTGAATAAAGTGGAGATAGGTGAAATGGAAAGTAACAGCGTTGAGGAGGAAATGGTGAATATAGCTGTTTAGCTTCATCATATGGTTACTTAGATAATTCAGCTGATGCATTTCTATGCTCACCGTTGATTCGACAATGAGTCCTACCATCTTTGAGATCGCAGGTGGGGTTATCTTGCGCTATTTCAACTAACACCCACTAACTTCAAGTTACTTGTGTACTGGTGGCTACCAGTGGTATCCAGGACACCAGTTGTATGCTTCTCTAGACGTGTAAGCCAGATGTACCTGCATTGCCATGGGTGATGGTGTTATCACTTGTATTTGTACTCAGTACGCATTGTTTCCGACATCAATGCATTACTGAATTACGAGAGTGGTTTTGGGCAAATTGTTGATATTTTTAAACTGAATTGACTATGAGGTTATTGAACAGATATAAGAATAAAACTTGGGCATTGTGGTAGAATGTAATTCCATTATGGTTAAATTTTTATTTTGATAGAGTCTCACAGTGGTATACAGTAATATTTACTGATGACGTTTCGAGCACAATTTATTGCTCATAATCATATCAAGTTAATCACACGACTTACTAAATTCATTTATATAGTTCCATTGTTTTTCACTTGATTTGATTGGTAGTATTATTTTCCATATTTCAGGTATGAGTGATGATTCATTCCTATTGCATGTGTTGGGTGAATAAAATTCACATTTGAAACCGAAAATGAGCAAGGAGAATTAGCTATCTTAGATTGTAAAACAAAACGAATAGAAGAAGGCAAACTACACACTAGTGTTTATAGAAAACCAACGCATTCTAATAGATATTTAGACTTTAATTCATCTCATCCTTTAACTGTTAAGGCAGGCTTAGTTAAGTGTTTAACAAACCGAGCAATGGCACTAAGTAGCACAAAAAAAGACCTAAATGATGAAATAAAACAGATAGAAGAGGCGTTGGTTCTGAATAACTGTCCTCTAAAATTCATTAGGAAGATTGAAAAACGCCAAAAGAAAAATAAAAATAATTGTGAAACTAGTAATAATAACATAAATAAGAGAGAATATAAGTCATCTACAGTTATACCATATAAAGAGGGGACATCTGAGACCCTACGTAGGATTCTAAATAAAGCAGGAATTAGGGTGGCATTTAAACCTACAAACTCACTCAGGGACAAGCTCTGTAGGTTAAAGGACCCATTGGACCCAATTAGACAAAATAATATAATTTACAAAATACCCTGCAATGACTGTGAGGTCAACTACATAGGTCAAACTAGTAGGTCAGGGGTAGTCAGATTGTCAGAACATAAGAATTTAGCTAAGGTAAGAATGGTTGACCCAGAGAAGATAAGTAATTTAGAAAAAAGCTCAGCAATTGCAATGCATGCATTAACACACAACCACACAATAGGGTGGGAGAGGGTTAAAATTCTAAAAAGTAATCTAGGTAGGTGGAGAGAGAGGTTGATTACTGAATCTTTGTTCATCGAATCTACACCCAACACATGCAATAGGAATGAATCATCACTCATACCTGAAATATGGAAAATAATACTACCAATCAAATCAAGTGAAAAACAATGGAACTATATAAATGAATTTAGTAAGTCGTGTGATTAACTTGATATGATTATGAGCAATAAATTGTGCTCGAAACGTCATCAGTAAATATTACTGTATACCACTGTGAGACTCTATCAAAATAAAAATTTAACCATAATGGAATTATTGAACAGATATTTTGGTATTAACTTACTTCATGTGAATCGAAATTCCCGAAATAATAGCAAATTATAACTGTTCTGTAAGACTCTTGACCCAATGGATAATTCTTTGGTGTTTGAAATGATGAGTGAGGATTTAGAATCTCAGTGACAATACCATCAACTAAGAGGGGTGGTACATGCAGCTGACGCGTACCCAGCAGGAAGAGACTACCACCATAGACTCCACTGCTGTTTATCACTAGACGAATTGCTTCAAGTTAACAATTGAGACAATGTCTCATAGATCCATTCAAGGATTTTGTATTCTACACTGAAGGTGAACGTTTCGATGGAAAAACATCAACGGGTAATCACAAGTAGTACTTAGTTACTTCATGAATTTTAATTATATCCATGCTATACATTGTCATATGTCAGAATAACTAATAACGTAGTCTGTTTAATGCATTCTCATAACATTTAGAACTCTACGATTTCTCATCACCTGGCAGTAAACTAAAGTGCTCGTCATTATTGACCACGCTGAGAACTTGACTGATAAAAATTCACTTAACACCAACACAATGGACTAGACTGTTGATTTTGGTTACCCCCTGGTAACCAATCAATTTTTCCATTACAGTTCTACAGGAAGTCCATCGTGAGACCTAATAGCCCATTGGTCAATAACTCTAACTGCAGCATTGAGTTAGGCGGTTTCGGATCTCCGAGGGGATATTAGTTCCTTCACGGTTGCATACACACGCCTTGCTGTGACGAGTATCAGCAAGCATCTAAGTCTGGTAGGGTTTCCTACAGATTGCTTCCAACCACGTAAAATCAAAATTCAGAAACTTGTTATCATAGGTGGAAAGTGATATTCAAAGAAGTATACGATTGTTTTCGGTTATTAGTATAGAGAAAATTTTCAATCCAGTTTTAGGATTGTAGTAAACTACAGACGATGAAATTCCACCTTGGGAGTTATCGCATAGAAGAATAATGCAAATAAAAAATTCACTAACTAATTAACTATCTTATCTGATGCTCACTAGTGACTAGCCCTATTCAGGCAGTTACCTGGGGTTCTAGTGGGAGGCCATGACCAGTAGGATACAGCAGGTGAGGACAGTTACTCATCGAAAAAGACATTGCGAAGTGGTCGCACTATATCGTGAATTGGCAGAAGTTAGAATTCATACACTACCCGTTGGATCGGGTCCCAGTGGCTTAATGTTCTACGAGCTCTCCTTGTAACCAGAAGGTTCTAGGTTCGAACCCCTGTGGTGGGTGCGTACTGATGAAGAGCCCCAAACTAGGCTGACGAAACAACTGTCCAGTACTCCCAGCTGATTTTCCAATGGTTCTCTTACTGATGTCAGCTCATGATGAAATCCCCAAACCAATGAAACAAAATCCTTACAAACCAATGCTTGATAATTAACTATCTGTTTTTTCTTAATGTTTAATTTCTGAAAGGAACAATTACTCCGTGATCTGTACACATTTGCCGCTGACGAGGAAAGTCATTCACATCTTATTCTTGAATACTTTCAACTGCAAGAAAGTTATCTATCAGAAAGTTTACAACTAGTCCAAAAGGTGGTTGCTGATCTGTCTCAAACTATCAGTAAGTCAAAAAGTCATTACGTTCTTTGATGATCGCCTTTAAAAAGATAGAAATCAGTGTAGTGTGTGTGTGTGGAGTTCGGGAAAGCAGAGCAATTTTCAGATAGTCAACTATCTCATAATACTGCTACTGCTACTAATACTACTACTAGTGATAACATTAATAACAAACCTAAGTTATCTTGTTATTGTTATTATTCCTTTGGGTTCCGAATGGAACACAGGGCTTCAACAGCACCTCTCCATTTCATCCTATTCTTCGAAGTCCTCTTTTTACCGCCGGTTCCACGATTTTCCATAAGTTCTCTCATCTCCTCACACACACTGTCCTCCTACATACTGGGCTTTAAGCTATAATTTGTGTATTCAGGGCTAACACACTAACTAACTAACTTCCAAGGCTTAAATAGAATGCTGTTTGAACATACCGTGCATCCAATTACAAGTTGAATGCTGAAGTCCACGAACCACATACATATCTGTCTGTCCAGTTGCCACTGAGGAATTTCAAGGTGTAGAGAAATAATTCTCCGTTACTTGCTGACTTTTACTAATTTTTCTGTTGATGCCACTGAATTCTCAATCACATAATCGAAAAGAGTTTTAAAATGGTGTTATTTGGTTAGTGGTGGGTTAATACTCGAACCCAAAGTGCATGCATACTAGTTCCTATTTGAGACCGGTCAGTTGGATGCACTCGTATTCAGCAGTAAGTAGTGGTCTTTCCGTTGAGTCTCAAACCGAGCACTCATCGTTTCAAACTTCCAAGCTACGCGTGCAATCTTTTGCTTTAAGAGTATTAGTGCCAATTAAGAAGCTTCGTTTCAACTACAAGTGGCACGGACCTGTTTAGCAGAATGGGTTTTCAGTGCTCTGTAATCATTGTGAAGATCAGCACAAGGAAAAAATATCTGAATTCGTAGCACTAATGTCAAGTCGGTCCTTGTATATGGTTTCGTGACTTGTCACACACACACACCCGTCAACAATAGCATTTCCAACGAGCTACAACAGACTTTCATCATTGGCTGTCTTTACTGTGTCGATACTGAGGATCAGATGGTCGCTCAGAATGGATAACGAAGCAACAAAGAGCTATAAACTAGGCAAGAACCCGTCGCCCACACAAAAATAGGAAATAGGGATGGATGGAATGGACTTGATGAAGGCTGTTTTTTCCCTTCACGTTCCCCAGTGGAACATAGGGCTTCAAGCTAGTGGCTTGGAGTTTCTGTAGCAGTGTTTATTTTACAGGATGGGATTGCTAGCCTCATGCCCAACCTTTCCTCTTCACCAGCACTATTTGTGGCTCAGCGAGGTAAGGGAGTGCGTTGGCCAGGGATCGAACCGCGGACCATGTGCATGGTCGGCGAGCGTCCTAACCGCTATACCACCGTGTTGTGGTATATTCAAGTGACGTCGCGCGCCAGGTTGTGTAGTTTGAATTGAAGCAATGTAGCACGTGTTTCTGGGAGTGACATAAAGGAGACCATATGCTGTGGAAATGAAAGTTTATGGGGATTTGTGGAGACAGCTGAAATTGATGTGGGAAAATTGAGTTCAGTGGAGATGTTCTTCTGAAGCCCTATGCTGCAGTCGACACACAGGGAATGAATCATGTAGTAATAATAATAATAATAATAATAATAATAATAATAATGTCACATAGTCTCAGGGATTATGTAAACCAGAGACAATCATGTGGACTTTTATATACACCTAAAGTTGACAAGGAATTTTATTAAAGCTGGATTTGATGAGTTCATCGGATGTCAGCAAAGCTCATCAATTAGGTAAATGCTTCAAATAACTTGTTAATTATAGCATATATATGTACAATAATAATAATAATAGGAAGAATAAGAAGAAATAGAACAAAAATGTCATAATGAGTCAACTACAACGAAACAAACGTAAAAACAAATCTAATCATCAAGTTCGTAAGTGGGATTGCAAGAAATTCACATTTAAGACTGTACAGATTAGAGTTCAGTTACCTGTAAAAATACGCAGTGACTGGAATTAAAGTTTGATAATATTGAAATTTTTACAGTTTATAATGACAATAGTGATATTAATAGCAGTGATAGCGAAACTGTTCAGTAAATGAAGTTAGTTCTCAGTACATAGCACCATGTCATTCTCAGTCAAGCGGGTTGACAAAAAAAATTTGTGCGAACCTTACAGAGTGTCATACCATCAGTGAATCCTAAAATGTTGACATGGATAACTTCTTACTTTGGTGCCTGTGGTCTACTAGTCAGGACATTACGTTCTGTCCACACTAACCTGGGTTCGTATCATGGCTATGTGGCTCAGTGTCTTAATGCGTAACACTGCGCATAGGTGGTTCAGCCGTAGAATGCTCGTCAGCCCTCATAGGATGTCTGGGTTCAATTTCTGGCTGGCACTTCTAAACCTCTTTTAACCGTTAGTAAATCTGTAAAAGAGAAGACGTTAGGAGTTAGGCTAGCAACCGTACCCTATAAAAGCCGTATCACTATTATTAAAAGTTCAAAAAAGCTTGAAAGACATTTTGTAACTTCAAAAAAAGGACAAATTGAATGTAAGTGAATTAACATGGGGTGTGGCGACTTGGACTGCCGCACATATGTGCAAAGTTCTATGTCGAAAACAGATAGACAGACAGAATTAATATGCACTGTGTGGTGAAATATAAATCCATGCTAGTTCCCTCATTTAATATATCATTTAGTAGAACAATAGCGAATGATGAATAGTGTTCTGCAAACAATTTTTTCTGAAGTGATAAAGTAGATTTCTATCCCAGTAGGTGGTGGTGTTGTTGTTCCTCTCTGAACTGGCTGGTTTATTTGCAAAACTTCCGTTGTTGTTCTAACTTTTCATCAGCATTCTTTTAAGTGATTAACGAACGAAATCCATTCGATGAGGTTGTGCAGTAGCACTGATTGAAATGGTTGAAAGATGTGTTAACCATAAGAAGCCATCGTTCTCCTCGTCGAGTAATGTCAGGTGATATACGATTAGGTTAAAAAAAGGGTTAGTTAGTTAGTTAGAGAAGGGTAAAAACGAGAACCTGACATCACTCCATGAAATTGTTGACAGTTACTTTGAGCCACACAGGGATATGTAGACTGCCTGCTTCAGGGCCTCAGGATGCTAAGAACCAATGTCTGGAGGCCATGCTGATGAAATGGTTCAAAATCAATCTCAATAACACACACACACACACACACACATTCATTCTCTAATCTCCCATATCAACTAAACACACCTTCATGTTTCTCAGTGTTAATATTTTCTCTATTTATATATCACTCTCTCCGTCACGTTCTTCTGAATCTCACCTTTTTCTCTGTCTTTTGTCTAACTTTGTGTTTTTGCATGGAGTGTGGTAACTTGAAATGCTGCACTCCTGTGCAGAGTTCTACGCTGAAACTCAGTCAGTCAGTTATATGGCTGTCAGAATTATACTATAAACTTGTTTTTCCATCGCCTCAATCAATGAAGATCTATAACCTCATGGACTCAGTCATAATCCCGTTCTAATGCCTTTTGTTTAAAATCAGTCTTGACCATTTTGTATTACTGTACTAAGTGAAGAATACAATAACACACGTATCTTCTTCAGTATCTCGGGGATTTAAAGTCAAAAATTAGTAGTGTTCGTTAACTGAAGCTCCTGGTTTAACGTGGATATTCTGTATGACAAGCTTTGCTGTGAAGTTACACGTATACCAATTTGTCTGCCTTCATTAATATACGCTAGCAACGTTTTTGATTGGCTATACAGCGCTAATTGAGGAAGTGATCGCGTAAAGTTAGTGCATGAGAAATAAAAATAAGATGATGACAGGTGACAATGCCGGTCTCTTTTTTATTGAAAGGTCTTATTTTCATCGACTGACGCCTTTTAAAGAGCGAAATAAAAATTTGAGGAGCCCTGGACAACTGTTTCGTATTTATACTGTGAGACTTCACAAGATCACAACAACAACAACAACAACATGTGTTTGTGCGTTTCTTCAGAATTCATAATGGATGCATGACCATTAATTCGATAGTCTTGTATCAGTCGCTTCACCAATTCAACTCTGTACTGACTAATCAATGGAATTGGTGGATAAACTTCTTCATTTCTTACTGTCGTCTCGGTTAAATGACTGACTAACTGACTGACTGAGTTTCAGCGTAGAACTCTGCACAGGAGTGCAGCATTTCAAGTTACCACACTCCATGCAAAAACACAAAGTTAGACAAAAGACAGAGAAAAAGGTGAGATTCAGAAGAACGTGACGGAGAGAGTGATATATAAATAGAGAAAATATTAACACTGAGAAACATGAAGGTGTGTTTAGTTGATATGGGAGATTAGAGAATGAATGTGTGTGTGTGTGTGTGTTATTGAGATTGATTTTGAACCATTTCATCAGCATGGCCTCCAGACATTGGTTCTTAGCATCCTGAGGCCCTGAAGCAGGCAGTCTACATATCCCTGTGTGGCTCAAAGTAACTGTCAACAATTTCATGGAGTGATGTCAGGTTCTCGTTTTTACCCTTCTCTAACTAACTAACTAACCCTTTTTTTAACCTAATCGTATATCACCTGACATTACCCGACGAGGAACGCAGTGATTCGACGTGCCATCTCGTCTATTCACTTCCCTTCTTTATCCAGCACTCTGTGTTTAACCTCAACACATTGTACGACTTAGCACTCGGCAGATAGAATGGTTAAATATTGTTAGGCTGGTTATTAATGTTGAGCTGAATTGTATTCATTTTGCTGATTCCTACCACTTACTACAAGTGTATTATCTTCAAGCGATTATAATCTCATTTTTGTACAACCATAGTATCTCTTAAAAGTCATATGGATAAATATTGTTGTAAGCATTTTAATTTACCAAAGTGTAACACTTTCACACATTTTTTGTCTCAACTATTGTTATTACTGAATCAGCTGAAACAACAACTGTGTTTGTGTAATATCCAAAATATTTATTCAACTTTGAACAGAAAAGTAAATGAATGTCCAAACGAGTACAATTTGTTTTCGATATATGAATGTCTTTCTCAGTGTATCATTATTGTTGGCACTTTTGTTCACAATTTTGTATGTGTGTATTTGTGTGTATATTATCACAGCTTGTGTGAAATTATCTGGTTGTAGCCTTTTTGTAGATATTTAGCTAAATATATTAGCACTCGAGTATAAAGGTTAGGGGACTATTTAAGCCTCACACTAAATTTGTACAGTTGGTAGACAATACTTTTGTGTTGTTTTGTATCCTTTTAGGTGTTCGAAAAGTCAGACTAATACTGTAACTAAAATCCTGTCTAAATAGTTATTTTCTATAGTTGTTTTGTAAGAATTGGTTTTGTTTTTACGAGTTGATCATGGATTGATATCAGTTAGAGAACCATTGAAAACCTGGAAGTACTGCCAGACAGCTGTTTCATCCTAGTTTGGGAATCATCGGCAGTATAGGATGGAGTTTCTTAGAGTTCTAGTGAGAAGTCGTGACCAGTGAGGTCCATCCAGATGTCACGTGTGAGGATGGATTTCCCACCGACGACATTGGTTGGTGTCGCGCTAAATCACGAATTGGTAGAAGTTAGAATTCATAAGCCATTGAATGGGGTCCCAGTAGCTGAGTGGTATACGACCTTGGCTTGTAACCGGAAGGTCCTGGGTTCGAATCCCAGTGGTTGCGTACCGCCGATGATTCCCAAAGCAAGATGAAACAGCTGTCCAGTACTCCCTGGTTTTCAATGGTTCTCTAACTGATATCAATCCGTGAACAACTAGCAAACAGTTATTGTTATTTTTTGTCGAATTGAGGTCTTGTTCAAGCTGCCTTTTGGACAGTCTGCGGTTAGCTTATAATTCTTTTGTTTACACAGATAAGCATAGAGCTGCTTCGTTGAACGATACAAAGTGAAAAAAACACTAACACGAAGAAAGGTGTCTGATACGTCTCAGCTCTAACATTTACAGCATAAAATAACTCTGAAGTTGTAGCACTTAAATAGTCACTAGGCTTCTCGTAGACGGTAAACAGTAGAAGGAAGCAAGACAGAACATCAAAATGCTGGGTTTCCGTTGAAATATCGTGGCTAGTTCGGAAGCTCCGACAAAGTCTGAAGATTAACACGTCACTGCAGACCCAGACCCCGATCATTTCAGTCAAATAGTAGTCAACCAACGAGAAATACAAATCGACTCAGACAAATAATAACTGATATTCACTGAACAGATTATTGGCTGTCCAGGATAACGCTTTAGTGTTTGTTTAAAACAATGGTGACTGGATTCGAGTGTCAGCGGGAACATTATCAAACAGTGTAGGATACAGGCACGTCCAGATGACGAGTCCGAGATAGGATGAAATGTGCATTCTTGGTGCTACTGCTATTCTTTATCAACCAAATAAAACCAATGAGAAACTTAGTATATAAATATTCGATTTTTCGTCCACACAAATTGTGTTATGTGACGGGTTTTTTCTTGTGCAATCCACAGTATTACCAATCTTCGTATATATATATATATATATATATATATATATATATATATATGGCTTATAATGGCCTAATGCATAAACCTTTGTGGTTTAGTTGAGCTGAATGTATCTGTTTGTATATACACAAATGCTAAGCGGATGACCTTTATGAATTATGTGAATTGATTTTGTGTAAATCAATTATCATCACTTGTGAATAAATTAACTTCCTTTTTATTTTTAGTAACATTTGACACTGTATTTATTTGTTTGGTCTGTTTTCTTATTCCTTTACGTTCTAAGTGGAATACAGTAGACTTCGAGCCTTAAAGTTTCAGTAGCATTGGTAAGGTTGCTAGCCTTTAACACCCCGACCTAGCCTCTTTTTTCCAGGCAAGAGTTAGGCGAGGTTGTTTAGAAGTGAGCTGGCCTTAGGTTGAATTAAAGAAACACAATGAACAGTGGTGGGTTAGTCTTTAGTGGATGATTACCGTGTGAAAGTATAAAACACTTCGGTTACAAGGACTTTCACACTGACTGGAATTCTAAACTGCTCTATTACGATAAATACTGCTTTGAATTAATTTATTTATTTATTGGTTTATTCATTGTTCTTAGGACAACAAAAACGTCTCACCACATTTGGACGACATCTACCAGATCATTTAAGTGAAACCAAACGCTCCATCGCCTATGTTTTGGATGTCTGCATTAGTTATTTGGATCAAGAGTCTGTAATGCAAGAAGAGGTGAGCTATATCAAGTCGTCTGTTGATGCCTTATTATGAGCAACATTCTTTTTCAATATGCAAGGATTTCGTGATTCTAGAAGATTAAAAATGTCATTTACTAAACTGTATGTGTATGAACATAAATTTGACGGAGTCAGTACACGTTAGCATTATTTTAAATCAGGGTAGAAGTGAATTGAATAAGAAAATAGAGTTGCATAATTTTCATTGGACACTAGTAACTAGTGTGATGTGTCTAGTCCTTTGTTTAGTGTAAACTGAATTGTGTCAGAAGGGATATGAGTCCCTTCAAGGCTGCAGATATACCTTGCTGACTGGTGACTGCTAACTAGCACGAAACCTAGGTCGAGCAAGCCTTCCTGCGTATTGCCTCCAACTATCTAACATCAAGAGTTACACAATACTTACAAGAACTCTTTATAAAGGTCTTTATAAGGTCTATGAAAAGGAAAAACAGTTTATTGTGATCCCTTGGACCATGGCGCAAATATGAACTTCTGGATTGGTACTGTTTTGTTGCTATCTAGTTGTTGTGATGTCTTTGTCCTGATTTGACAAGGTACTTTGTTATCGTAATGAAAATGCATTTTGATTCTTTACTTGGCGTGTTGGATAGTGTTCACGAGTTTACACGTAATACAACCGGTGAAATGATCGCATGTGTCCATTTGTCCGTGTCGTAAATTAATGAAATTTGTTTGAAGAAAATAACTAGGAGTATTGCAGTGAAATGTGTCTTACTCAAAGTTTAAAATAATTTTTTTTTTCGAAAAATACCTGGAACAATGTCATACTCGATTTCAGCCTTCTAGTTTTGTTCATTTTCTCCATGACATGTATCTGTCTGATGGATATTTTTTCGACCGTAAGTTCTTGCTTATAAACTTTGGTGGGGAGAGAATAGGATCGACCATTTCCCTTCACCTTCCTAGTTAGAGGGGTCGAACTGTGAAACCAAGAAACTATTACTTCCATGTAGGTTTTATGCAAATAGTTCTATAAAGTGAACACTCATATATATATATATTCTCTGGAGTAAAGTATCAAAACTGAAGAGTAGTAAATGTTGAGTTTCATTTTCTGACTAGAGTGACTTCAACAGATAGTTGGAAGTTGTTAGAGGCATAGAGCCAGATTTCAAATCTTGTGTTCTTTATCAAAAAGACATCATCAGTATATCCTGTATAGATATTTGCACAAGAAGCCCACCGATCATTGTTGCGTCGGTGGCACAGCGGTTAGAACTTTCGCCGGCCATGCACATGGTCCGGGGTTCGACCCCCTGCCGACGCACACCTGATATCTATGGTCGGCCTGCAAAATTTGGACTACCGATATCACATGCTGAAAATTCCATACTTGTACCGAAAATATTGTGTGGTTTCAAGCTATATTCAACACAGCAGCAAACGCATAACACTGGTTACTTCTTCCTGTGACCAATCAATGTATCCAGCACAGCCGGTCATTCATGATATCGAGTAGCACATTGATAACACGAGTTCTAGTCTCGAAGGTGACATCATTTCCCTTGAAATTCGGTGCTAAACCTTGCTGACGAGTGCCCAGAAGCACAAAACCACGGTGCAGAGTTTCTTACTGATTGCCTTTAACCATCTAACACCAAGTCAGGGCGAATATAGAATGTGTTTGCTTGACTGAATTATTTGTTGTTACCTGTTTGTTATTCAACAACAATCATCTACATGCATTCATATTATGCAACATTCTTGCATTCTCGTTTACGCGTTGTGTTTCTTTTTGTTTAACTCTATTTAACTGTTCGTTAATTATTCAGCTTTAACGTCTCACTCTTTACCACTTAGTAGTAGTATCTATCGATTAATGAATGTCTAAAATAATGTCAAAAAATTTATGTGCACGTGTATATATATGTGTGTGTGTGTACGCACGCGCAGTTGCTTGCTTGTTAAGGTATTCATTCATCCTTAGCATTCTCATTAATCTTTTATCTAATGCATTATTAACATCTACACACAACTTGAGTCAATTCTTCACTAAGGTCATTCACTATACAATTCTTCAATAAACAACACATGAATTTATAAATTATCAGAAGCAGTTTGAAATGTACACACACTTCACCAAAGAAGGCATGAAAGACAACAAAGATTTATGTATATACACATAATATTGGTATTTGATATTTCAATGTCTTATTTCTTTGTTTCTGGAAAGAGTGAAGAAGTTTTCTAGTATCATAGTTTGAGAATTAATGTACAAGTGTAAATTGTCAACTTGTACTATCTAAAAGCATTTCCAACAGGTTTTTTTTATAGCAGACTGTCGTCAACGCTTGCCTACGATCGATACTAAATATGAAATTACTGGCCAGTAATGATGAGCAAGCGATAAGGCATTCCGGAAGTCAGCGAACCAGCCAGCTTACCTATCACTCAACGAACAAGTATGCAGAATGGGATGGAGAGGTGGCGTATAAATACTCTGAGGAGGCCAGTGAGTGACATCACACGCCAGATTGATTGTCGACGGGAACACAACTAGGAGACGATGAGTTAAGCGTCCAAAGGTGACTTGGTGGAGATTGTGTAAGTTAGAAATGAAAGCTTGTGTAGGCAGTCGTGGAGGCAGTTGAATTCAATGTCAGGGAACCGAGTGGAATGCAGATGTACCACTGAAGCTCCATGTTGTTGTACTCGGAACTTGAGGGAATAAACTACCGTTTGATACAACAGGAGAATTCTATGCGTTTGGACGAAACACGTTTGCGTGACCCAGTTTCAGAGATGCTGGCCTCTTTACTGACTGTTTGGCGAAACAGTGTAGGACATCAGTTGAACTCGCCAAACTTCCAGAAAGCATACAAAATCCGGAAAAAAAGGGTGATAAAACTGTAGTGGGCAACGATACATGAGGGGAAGAATAATTAGATAATAACCACTGAAGCCCTCCTGATTATGGAGGATAAAAGAGTTTGATTACATCTGCATTACAGTGAGTGATTCTGGATCATTTCGCCAAATATTGCCTCTGGACATATCAAGTATCCCAACCATTTGTTCTGTACTTGCCTACTTGACTCCAACCAGTAGACAACAACTTCATCGTGTGAAGTCGTTTTCACTTTCTCACCATTTTTAAGTCAGTTAATTTTCTTCCTCCTCGAAGAAGACACTGGCTTAACACATTTAAGGCATGTCCTAGCCACTTCAACTAAAGGAAGTATACAGTTTGAGTATTATATATTATTATTATTATTGCTATGGGTTCCGAGTGGGAACACAGGGCTTCCACAACACATCATCACAAAGAATGTACACCGTGATGGCGAGGTACATCGAGTGGTGGCCACATTACAACCTGACTGATAGAATTCAGTCTGCACCAAAGAGAGGACTAGACGTATCGCACTAGTTACTAGTATCAAATCAAAACATCTCCACTCTGTCCTATTTTCTGCCGTCCTCTTCATTTGGGTCCACGTTTGAGCATAATCTTTCATCTCCTCCTAGCCAGTCAGTTCCTAAAACATCAAAATTAACCATAGTCCCATTCATCAGTATGTTTACAATGAAACTAAATGTTGACGGTGGAATGAAGTGTCACATACGGACACCACTAATCGTCGTCACTTTACATGATCCGTCATTCTGTGTAAGTCTGAACGTAACAAAATCACAAATGCTTCGATCAGTTTCACGAAAAGAAATTTGTGTACGCTATAACACGACTGCAAAAAGAGCGTTGGTTATAATAATCCTAATTTGAACAATTTCTTGACACTGCACTCATAGCACCTCTCCTCAATCTATCACATTGAACACCTTTTGCAGATCGAGAAAGATGACGTATGTTGAACACTTTTGAGTGTGTCTCTGTTTTAGTAACTGTTAGACGATCGAGATTCTATCATTGCATCCTGTTCCTCCGGCCTTGATGCTATGCTGTTTTCAGTAGTTTATATTCGCCGATTCTGGCTTAGTTTCCGCTAGAATTTGGGACTTAGAATCACAGGTACTATGTTAGTCAGCCTGACTGTGGTGTAATTATGACTGAAAAATTTGTTTTCTTCCTTATAAGCTGGTGTAATCATTGATCGACACCAGGCAGACGAAATTATCTCGGCTTTGCATATAATAATAACTAGCAATTTTATTTATTCTACGCTATAATTCATCACTACCTTGTCTAAAACAGTACTAGGGCCAAAGTAGTAGACCCTACTGATCTATTCGCTTCAGCATGTCTCTTTTCTTTATCTCTATGTTACTTTTCATTAACTTCACTAAGTAGCCTTTATTATGCAAAAATTTGCCGCCAACTTTAATACCATATTCTCTTAATTGCACAACTTTTATGCCTCCCTATGTGTAACATTCTTATCACACATTATATCTTGAAGCTAAGTGGATAACGAATGTTTCTTCAGCACCATCATCTGTTCAGCTGTCCCTTTTTTCTTTGTAGCCTATCATAAATGTGTATACTGTATGTTTTGTCGTCTTAATCTATACACAGACTGACTAATATCATTTGCCTTTTTCTTGTGTCTGTGTATAATGAGTAATAATTGTTATTAGATTAGTCCTACTTACTGTGACACTGTCTCATTTGTACAGAATATATCTTGCATAGTTACGTGTACATTGATTGGCCTAATGATCTCATTTTTGCTAATGTTACATACTTTTTACCAGTGAATACATTCCATAAGATGTTTTGTTACTTTATGTAATTGTATATTTATATTCGTGATGTTATTCGCATTTTTTAAACTCATCATATCTAAACTTTTACACCTTACTCTCAAATATTGAGTTCGTGGCAGTTAATTTATGTCACTGCATACTTTGTTACAAACAGATATTATCGGTTAGAGAACGAATAAAAAGCCAAGGATCGTGCGGCAGTAGTACACGACAGTCTCTCTCTCTCTCTCCATGACTCTTGGTCATATTGATTATGATATTGTGATGAATACGCTGGCATCACTCATCACTAAGCTCTGCATAGTACTTGTCGAATTCACTGTGACATCAAGATAGAGGTCTGTATCTCATCCAATTCATTAGAGAACTCCGGGAATTAATTTCATTCAGTTTTCTGTATGCCTCAATTTTTTTTTGTTTTTTACCTTGTAATAATGGTTAGCTTCGTATGCAATGTTTCCTAACGCCTTCATAATTCTTCTGTGTATTGTCTTTTTTTTTCTTCTAATTTTTAGGGTCTTTTTCGAAAATCTGGATCACAGAAGAGAACTGATCTTTTGGTAGTAAGTAAAAGTAATCATTTTTAGGCAATTTTAGTGGTAGTTTCTACTACGAGTATTGATCTTTGTGTTTAGATGAATTTCACTCACTCACTCTCACTCTTTCATTCATTCATTCATTCATTCATGTGTGTACAAAGCGTCGGTGGCACAGCGATTAAGACTCTCGCCGACCATGTACATTGTCCGGGGTTCGATTCCCCGCCGACGCATACCTGATATCAATGATCGGCCTGCAAAATTTGGCCTACCGATATCACACGCTGAAAATTTCATACTTGTACCAAAAATACTGTGTGGAATCAAGCTATAATCAAAATAAAAAATATATATACTTGTATAGATTTCGTGTGTTGGTACTAAATAGCACATCCACAGCTCCTCATTTGGCTTAAGTCTAACCATAAGCGAATTTATCATATTCACATCCTACTTTCTTTGGACTTCTGTAGGCAGCATAAAATTTCATTTATTCAGTTTTAGAGACTGTTTTACTTCAACTTTTTGAAAATTTCGATGAATATAAATCATTAGTTGTTGTTGTTGTTTGGTTGTTCTTGTGTTATTGGAAATATTTCTGGTTCACTAGTTCGATGCGCACTCCTAGACCTAGTTGTGTCATGCTTTCACAATTCTTATTCGAGTGACACCGTGACAAATCCAATGTACTTATGACCATTTCATTAAAGTGTATCAATTTTTTGGGGATTGACTTTTCCATTCTGTGTATTTCAAGTGTTGCATAGGTTTTAAAACTTTTGGAGTTTTACCATTGCTGGTAGCGTTGTAAGTCTCATTTTAGAAGTGCGTTGATTGGGAATCGAATGCCGACGGCTTGTGAGCAAAGTTAAACTATCATAGCCAAAAACCCAATGATTTTGAACTGCCAATCAAAGTTCAGAAACGAAAAAGACGCATAATCATCGAAAAATACACTGAAAAATAAATGCAAACGTAATATTACACTCAATGGTTGTAGGTTATATGTTGTAAGAATGTCTCCCAGTCACTACATAGATGATCTATGGAGAAATCATACCATGCGCGATATATCCATCCGTCGAGGTGACTATAGGTCATGGCAACTTGAGGTCCATTGATATTTCTGACACTTTTCTTCAATCTACTTGTAACTCTAACCTTAACCCTAGACCCTAAACCTTAATCTTAAAAACCATAAGCCTACCTAACAGTATAGACTTGCAGAAAAAGTACCTGGTAAATAAGTAGAATACTGTGTCTATTCTCTACAAGTCTAAAAAAGGCAGGCAGGCATGATTTGATTCGGAATGACTTTTCATAGCATCCTCTGTATCTGATTGGTCTCTGAAGATCAAGTTTTGAAAGACCTTGGCTTTGGCTTTGATACTTTAAATTCACTGACTTGTACAATGATTGTATGAACTGTAGAACCTGTGAATATTCATATCCAATGCAGAATACAAAATTTTACCCACATCTTTTAAATAAATCACGACTGTTTCCCTTGAGTAAAATAATGTCACACTTTTATTAAATTCATACAGTTAAAATAAACTTTCTGATGAACTACTAGTGCTTCATGATATGTCAAAACATTGACTCATTGCAGTTTTTATGAAAACAATCACCTAAGTGAGTACAATCAATTTTTATCACTATGTGAATGATATATTCAACTCTTAGTTTTGCTGTTCTTTGCCGAGTGCTACTGATAAGATTTATCAGTAGTATATGAAGAGACCTTCATCGCCATAAAAATACCAAATAGCAGGGAAATACATTTGATGTTAGAGAAGGCAAATGATACAACTTTCTGGAGACACATGGGGACGTGAAAAGAACACAAAGAAACACAATAAGAAAGTCAGAAGTACCACAGCACGAAGATCTGTGCAAATTGTGCTTTGGAGATAAGGCATACATAATTTGGTTATACAGAGATACCAATTTCCTAATAGGCATCCCTCTACCAAGTCGGTGGGCGTCAAGGGTCCCATGGCTAAGGCGGTGGGGCCGAGGACGCTGCTGCGAGGTCGAGCGAAGGTGGCGTACGATAGTGTGAGGCGGTTGGGTGAGACAGAGACCTGGAAGCTGCTGATTGGACGATTGGTGTCGGAGTTCGACAGTCCGACGGAGAGACAGCTGGCGCTGCAACAGTTCGGTGCCGCGAGTCTGGGACCGGATGGAGACTCGTCACATTTCTATGAGTAAATACATTCATGTATTTTGAGAATTAGAAGTGATGGAAAGAATTTGTAGTTAAGGTCGGGATGTTTTTGGTGTGATTGCGTTCTCTAGGCTGGAAAGCTTATTTGTGAAGCTTTTATTGCCTTTCTAGACAAAACCGCTTCAGCTCAGACTTCAATATGATATGAGTTTTTAGAATTCTCCATGAGTTTATGAGCCATCTCATTTGGTAACTTTGAAAGTGATTGGTTATTTTCAGAGACTTTATCAGTATCTTATCCAGTTGTACCGGTTATCTTTTGTTGACTTGATAGTTGATGTTTTGTTCACGTGGCTTCAGTTTTTTATTTGATACTTCTTTGTCAATGTGTGTGTGTTGACTTCAAATTCGTCTGAGTGTCAGGTTTCTAGGAATCCCCTGGTAGTCGATTTAGTGTCCGTAGTTGTCTGTATGCATTGATATGAAGGAACGGATATCATATTTTTTTTGACAACTAGTTTATCTTCCTAAATGCGAAGACGGAAAGGATGTCCATCTTGGTGTTTTTCAAAGTTATTTCAGATTATCTTACTGATGATGTTGCTTATGTCTTTATTTGCTGCCGCGTCTTATGGCTGACATATATACTATAAGTTGAAATGATTTTTTGTTTTCCAATGACATCTATTCCAAAAAGTTTCTACAGTTCTGCAGGGATTTCAGAGATATTCTTCGTATATGGTAAGATGAATTTCCTTACGCTTTCACTAGATGATTTTGAATTGGTCAGTTGAATTGGGAGTAGGTAACTATTGTTACAGTTTCGTGGATATTCACTTTTCAGGAAGAGTGACATTAGGTACTTCTACACTACTCTCCTCAAGGCAGAAGTGCTGCAGTGTGTCCTAGCTGTTTCGAGTAATGTTTATATACAACTCTCCTTCTGTGTTTTGTATTTAAGTTTTTACTCTGCATGAAGTGATTTTCGGCTTATTTAAGTCTCTAATTTTCCGGTGTTTATTCGGTTGACCAAGACGTCTCATAACAGAATATTGTTTATGGAATTCTATTCTCTTGTAGATTTTATACTTTCGAACTCTTTTTCTTCGACACACTCATTATTTAAACTAAATGATCACGAGATAATTGGTCAGTTGTGCAATCTGGTTACTGAGCTGAACTACACAACACTATTGTGCACTATGGTTCCCCTTTTTCTTGATGTTCTATGCTAATAAGATCTAGCCAACAGGAAACCGTGTTCTTTTTCGGGCATGGCATACCCCAACACCAGCTGTCAACAACGCTATGTGTATGAAGATCAGTATCTACTTGCAGAAAGATTAAAACGTTTCTAGACTGAATGGTGGAATCCTTTGTACATCTTCGATTGTTCTCACTTAGAATCATGCACAATTTTAAATTGTGTAAAGTTTGTAGTATCGATTGAATTTCCCCTCCCCCGTGCCTCTACATCATGCCTAGGCGTGATTTAATTTGTGACAAATGCCTGAGAATATTACTGACTGTGATGCACTAATTTTTAGCTCATGCTGCTTAAGTGAAAGAGTAGTAGTATTTCCCGTTCTTTAGGCTTCTTAACTAAAATATCAACTATTGTGTTCTTCATTTTGTTCTAAGTCTTGCCACTTTTTCATTGATTGGATGGATTATCAGCACAATGTGTCTAATTGATGTAGGCATGTGGTGTAAATGACATATAATTAATTTTTTCCATTGGCTCTCTTTTTAATTTATGCGATGAACAACCCACCCGCCTGTTCACAATTGTTAATTTCGGGTACATTGATTGATTGATTGATTCACTTCTGTTAAAATAGAAAATGTAAATTTATTTAGACAATAGGTATTTGTTGCCAATATCACGTGATACTTGAGTCACATGAACCAACAGAGTAATCAGATTACACAATAATAAACTCATAGGGTGGCATGATATTAGTATTAGTAGAAAGTTGTATCTGGGCTATGAAATTTGTCCTTGTAGGTAAGTTTTTTAGTATTTATTTTAAAATCTACCTGAAACTGCCATTTAGAGAGTAGTTAGTAACCAAAATATGGCTTACTATACTTGGAATCCTTCGAAGTGAAGACGGGAGTAAGACAAGCTGGCTCCCTACTATCTGCAATGATTTTCCTGATTACGGTAGACTGGATAATGCAACAGACAGCGGGAAGCGAGGAAACAGGCATAAAATGGACCCACACAAAAAATTTGGAGGATTTGGACTTCACCGATGATATATGTCTGATTTCCCACAAACTGGAAGATAAGCAAGTGAAAAGCAACAAATTGGCAGAAGAAGCATCCACAGAAGATAGGACTTCAGGTGAACATAGAAAAAACAGAGGTGATGAAGATTCCTGGCCAACAGCAACAACAACCGACACAATCAGCATAAATGGGAGAAATGTGGAAGAAGCAACCTCCTTTACCTACCTACCTGTTAAGCATAGTTTCAGCTGCAGTTGGAACTGATAGGGTTATCAAGGCAAGGATCGGGAAAGCAAGGCAAGCTTTCATTACTCTGAAGTCTGTGTGGAGGTCAAAAGGACTGACTCAGCATATTTTCAACTCCAATGTGAAGTCAGTGCTACTATACGGATCACAGACTTGGCGCGTCACGAAGGGCACTTCGAACAAACTACAGACCTTCATAAACAGCTGTCTTCGTTTAATACTCAAGATCAGATGACCGGAAAATATCAGCAATGGGGATCTCTGGGAACAAATTAGCCAGGAACCGATTGTGCAACAAATACACAGGAAGAAATGGAAGTGGATTGGTCATACTCTGAGAAAACCATCAAGTGAGTGACATCCCACGCCAGG